ATTCCAAGAGTTCCCAGCTTCAATTTCTTTAAACCCCTATGTCAATATTTGCCCCAGTGAGGTAACCATAATTAGTGAGGTCATTTTAATTGGTAGGGTAACTATAGTTAGTGAGGTAACTGTAATTGGTGAGTCTGGCTTAAAAGTTTTCAAAACAAGGCTAAAACCATACAAACTATGTGGCTACGAGAATACTAGTTTGAGGCGCAGCAAGTAAAAGCACTTACTGTGCAAATCTGTGATCTCAGTTCCATCCTGGATCTCATGGTGGAAAGAGAGAACCAACACACAAAGTTATCCTCTGACCATATGTGACATGGCACATGAAACACACACACACATGCATACATACACAAAAATGAAAAATAACTAAATAAAAGGTTGGTTTTCTTCATTATCAAATATACATACATCCCCAATAGAATCAAAAAAGAGAAGTAGATCTTTCCTCAAAAAGTTAAACAGGATTATCCTATAATCCTGCAATTATACTCTTAAGTGTATACCCAAAAGACTGAAGAAAGACAAAGAAGTGTGTGTGCATGCGTATTCATATCAGGCCTATATACAACAGCCAAAATAAAAAGAAAACAAACATTAATCAATGGAAATGAATGGATAGCATATAATAGTAGATGCACAAGAAGGAATACTTGGCATGAAACACTGATACATGCTGAAACACAGATCAACACCTGAAACATTCTACAAAATGAAAAAGGTATAGCAAAAAAAGTCACCTATTGAAACCCTGTCTCGAAAAACCAAAAAAAAAAAGTCACCTATCAGTAATTCCCCTTATATGGTATATACAGAATAGATAAATCCATAGAGACAGACTATAGATTGGTTTAACCAGAAGTTGAGAGTAGTAGGAAAAGGGGAAACTTACTTAATAGGTAAGAGGTTTCAGTTGGCAGAGATGTGTTTCAGGACAGTTATTTACACGTGAAGATGTGTTTTTGCCAAGGCGCTTTCTGATTGGTTTAATAAAGAGCTGAGTGGCCAGTAGCTAGGCAGGAAGAGGTTAGGTGGGACTTCTGTGGACACAGAGGACTCTGGGAAGAAGAAAAGGAGAGTTGCCAGACAGATGGAGAGGAAGCAGGATAGGTAGTACAGAAAGATGAGGTAGAGAGTCATGTGACAGAATGTAGATTTAAAAACATGGGTTAATTTAAGTTATAAGAACTAGTTAGGAACAAGCGTAAACTAAGGCCGAGCCTTCGTAATTAATAAAAATCTCCCTGTCGTTTTTTGTGAGCTGGCTGCCCAAAGAAAAGTACTGCTACAGGGATAGAATTCAACAGAGGTAGTAGTTGTACAAACTAAATTCCACTGTTTGAAGCAACCAAGCAGTACAATAAGGATGGTATCCTGAACTGGGGCCCTGGGTTTGTCCTTGCCCAGAAAATGAGGAATTGCTAAGGCTTCTAAAGTCTGTATACAACAGGAGACCTTGGTGAAAAACATAGCCCTGACTGCTAAAAGAAAGGCCTGGACATGAGGACTGAGCAAAGACTGTCTCAGTGTCACTCCCCAGGTGAATGGCTTCCAGTGGTGCTTCCTTTGTTTTTTGGAGGGGGGAGGATAGGTTGCTTCACAACAAGGTTTCTTTGTAGTTGTGGCTGTCCTGGAACTTGATCTGTAGACCAGGATGGCCTTGAACTCAGAGATTTGCTGGGATTAAAGGTGTGCATCACCACCGTCTGGCTCAATGGTGCTTCTTACTCACTGAGGGTCAGCCCCGCGTTCGTTTTCTGACCTCATCTTCTAAACCTATGTTCAATTCAGTTCTATAACCATTGTCCCTGTTCCTGGATGAGTAAGGCTTTCTCACACACACCTCCCAATTTTTGCATATGCTATTGCTTCCACACACAACATTCCCCGCACTACCATCTGCCAAATCCGCCTCTACCTTTTACCTATTCTTCCAAAGGAATCTTCACAGAGCTTCATGTCCAGCAGTATAAACCTCTCATGTGTTTCCTTGGCAGCCATGCTTCCCTTCATTATAGTAGCTCTTAAACTCACAGCCAACCTGAGGCCAGGACTGTGTTTTGTGTATCTTTTCATAGTCTAGCAGAGTACTTAGTACCATAAAGCATGACCTTTTGAGAGACACCAGGAGATGATATACCACTCACTGTAAAGTATACAATTCTTGGGCATGTCTTTTTTTTTTTTCATTAGTTGTTATTTTGATTTACTGTAATTGGCGGACTTGTAACTGAGTCATTGTTGACTTCCTGGTACACTCAGGAAAAAAAAAAAAAAAACTCTTCCCTGATTTGCAAAAGCTAAGGAGTGGCTGCCACTTTTAAGCCATGAAAGCAATATGATGCTAGCACAGTTCCCCAAAGCTTTAGTGACTGTGAGCTCCTCTGTCTCCAGAATTACACAAAAGTCTGTACAATAAGCTTCGGAAAGAACAAAGGACTGTCCTCTATCCTATCTCACAGTCGCCCTCTAGTGTCAAAAACTAACAAGTACACTAAGGTAGAAAATTTAATCCAGAGCCAAAGCTGTTTCACTGGCCTCTGTTTAAAATGCACTGGAATGAGCCAGGGTAGATAAGAGGACTGACTGTTTGAGTGCACCATCCTGCCTTCCCTTTCATGTCCGTCACTCAAACTGCACTCACCGCGCGTGGAGAGTCTGGTTATTCTAGCCAATTAATGCCAATTAACATCTTTGAGAGAGTTTGGACATTTTAAATGCGTAAAGATGTTGCAACATCACTCTAGATGTAACTGGAAGCCCACCAAAGAAACTGCACGTATCTTTGCCTTTGGCTTGGGGTTTATCACTTTGGGACTGAGCCAGCCCTGCTTTTCTCCCACTCACCAATTAGGTAATTTAGTACAAACTACTAAAAACTGGAAAAGAAGTGATGGCTTTATTATATATGTGACTGACAAGCAGTAATGCTTATCTAAATTTGGGGTGCATAAGAATAACAAACACTAAAATTTGTCCTCCATAATGAAAAACTGGGGCTCACCACCTCTGCTCGCTTGCCGCCGGCCTTCAAGTAATGAACAAACTAGGTTACGTCAGAGTAGTTGCAGCTCCCAAACCCAGGCCACCTCACACCAGTGGCACAAGAAATGATTCATTTGCCTGAATTGGTAGAAAACGGTTCCTTCCTGGAAAGGAATTTAAACGGACGTTTAACTTACTTTGGCTTGAAAACTTTCAAAATTTCTTGTGAGTCTACTGTATAAGACTCAAACTCTCTACTCATTTTTATTCATTTTTTAACCTGAATTCTACCCAAGATCCATGTATTCCTTTGCCCCATCTAAAGGTATCCTAACCAAATTATCACTATATTGAACACTCACTCAAACATTCATTTAACATCTACTTATCAAGGCTCGTTATGGGCCAGGCACGAGGCTGTCATCATTACAAAGGATATGAAGGAACTTTTCATGACATGAAAAGTTCGGGTGCTTAACTAAAGCACGGGATGTACACGTGATATGTGTGAGGTGATAAAAAGGCTTTGTGAAGTGGCATTTCAACTGGGATCTGAAGAACACAAAGAAGTTGGTGTAATACACTAGAAAGAGTTCTGCATAGAAAAACTATGAAATGCAAAGGCCATCAGTAAGAAGCAAGATTAATAAAGTGAGTTTTTTTTACTCCAGCCCTCTCCCTGGAGCCCGAGTCCTACAGTCTCTACTTTAAAAATCCTTAAAACAAATCTGAATGCTACCTCTTCTCTCTTTTCTAGGTTACTTTATTACTGTATATTCACGTACCAGTGATGAGTTTTATAATGGTATTCTTATTCAATATAAGTATAATGTACTCGGTGCTTATTTATTACCCATTAACTGTTCCTTTTACTGTTTTACTCTCCTCTTCCTCTTTCCAAATAGTCTTCCCCTTCAGTTTCGTGACATACACCCACACCCCTAGATTGCATATATAAAGAAAACTAGGGGGGCCTTTTGTATATGTGGGTCTGGCTCACTTTGCTTAATATGACACACTCCCATTTCCCCACAAATGTTATGAGTTTGGTTTTCTTTGTAGCTGAACAAAACTACATTGTGCATATAATACATTCTCATCCATCACTGGTGGATGGGCTCCTATGCTTCTTTCATAGCTTGGCTGCTGCAAATAGTGCCAATATCTCACTCTCAGCTGGACTAGAAAATTGATCACATGATGCTAATGTATTACTGTTTTCTACAGACGCCTATTCTCTCCATTCTCCTGTTCTATTTTCTCCATTACAAGTTCTTAGGGAGCACAAACCCTTGTAATCCCCACATAGCCTAGCAAAAGTTCCTGTACAATAAGGACTTGAATTGTTGCTGAACTGATTCATTTTTCTTTACAATATTGATCTTTAAACCTAGCTGACATTCAGATATTTCTGAGAATGAAATTGAAAATGAACTTTTAAAGTCTCAAGGGCTTGCCCTTTAGTCCCTCAAGTATTAGGGGACCGCCTCAGGCTGCTGCTCTGGTATCTGTGCCTCCCACCTCTGCCCTATAACCTCACACACAACCCTTTACACTTTCTCTACCCGTGTCGTCTACTAAAGCACTTGTTGATGGCAATCGAGTCTTGGTTTTAATGAGATTCCGGGCTTGGAATGGTGGTTGGTAGGTAGCTGATACTCACAAAGTTGAAATCTAATGAAGTCACTGAGAACGTTATTTTCAAGATTTTACCAAGTGGAGCAATCTATGGTAACTAAAGTTGGAGAGTGAATCATGAACATATCGACCCGGTAAGAGAACTTTCGTTTCCCTGATGATAGGGCCTAAAACAGTTGGTCCTCCAGTGCACCAGAGGGCCAAGCAGAAAGATGGGAAACTGCAAAAATGTGCTGCGGAAAGGACTTCCACAAGTCTCCTGGATGCAGCTACTACACGGTCTCCCTCCCTCCCGTCAATGCTCAGCAGCGAGGACTACGAGTCCCAGGATGCTATGCGGCTACACCGGTATCTGGAAAGTTTGTTGTGGGACTTACCGCCAGTAAATGGGTGCCCGAAGGTTCTCCAAGGCCCCAGTTTCTTGGAGCATTAAAAGGAGGAAAGGGCTGGGGAAGGGATGAAGAACTAGAGGGATGAGCTCTGAGTCGTTTTAGTTGAAGTGTGGCCTGTGACGAGGCCCAGGCTCACGGTGGGGCCCCTAGAAAGAGTAGTTACTAACAGAACGGAAACTACATTTCCCAGCGGAACGGAAACTACATTTCCCAGCATCCGTGCGATGAGAGAACTTCATTGTCCGAAAGCCTCGAGGCGATTCGGCACGCCTTCCGTTTCCTCTTGCTGACCCGGATCTCCGAGAATATGAGGATGAGGAGCCGCTGGATTTGGCGGCTCCTACGCCCTGACGGCGGTGGGTCCCGCTGGACTTCAACTCCCCACGGGCGTCTGTCACCTGTCCTGCGGAGAGGTGAGGCTAGAAATTGCTCAGGGAGACAATTCGGACGGGTCGTGTCTGCTCAGGCGTACTGGAGAGTGACACACCCCCTGCCAGGCCCCGCCCACATGCGCAAAGCCACCCCTGAGGATGGGGCTTGCTGGTCCAGGGCTAACAGATGGGCTCTGGAAGGCAGTGCCTTCCTCTTAGGAGAGGCACCCTCTACGGACCTGGGCTCCCGCTGGGCTTCTGAGTAATGGGGTGGGGTGGGGTGCGGGGTTGCTGTGGCGTCTCGTAAAGTTAATGAACTCTAGTTTGCGAGTGTCTGATTTCTTTTAGTTTCCTGTTCAGATTTACTTATTTAGCCACTTGGAGTTCAGGGTTGTGGTAGATTGCAGCACACATTTCAGGTCAAGTGCTTTATTCTCGCCGTAATTTCCGCGCCCTTTAAAAGTTACATAGTAGGCATTTTTAAAGTTGAAACCTATGCGTTTCCAAACACTTGGCCCCTTTGTGAGTCTGTATATCCTGGAGAATCTCTTACTTTATTCTGAGAACTGTTTCCAAGGCTTTTTTTTTTTTTTAATGTTTGTGTTTTTCAGGCTTTGTTTTTTTACTCTTTAAGGTCTTCTGCCCTCAGGCCTAGGTAATCTATTGAGCCTTGGACAGCAGATCAGTACCCATCCCAAGTATACACACGGACTCTGGACTCCCATAGAACAATGTGAGGTGCACTCTCACCCTGAACTCTTGGGGAAGGGTCTAGGCCCTGCCCTATATGAAATGACAGACTATGGACACCCCCATGGAGGGCCTCACCCTGGGGGAATGAGGGGATAACGGGGGGATGGGGGGGAGGGCACGGGAGGAGGGGAGGGAAAGGGAGAGGGACCTCGAACTGACTTGTGAAGCAACCTTGTTTCTTATCTAAATTTAAAATGGAAAATAAAAAATAATAATAATAAAAAAAATTTAAAAAATGTACTTGAAAATTAAAAAAAAAAAAAGGTCTTCTGCCCTCAAAAAACCACCACCTCCTTCTGTTTTTCCTGCATCAATGATAATAAACTGCGCCATTCGGTACTCAAAACACACCTCTCCTGCCTCTTTTGTGGCTCGTTTTGTTGTTATTGTTTTGTTTTTAACCTGTTCTTAAATTTTATTTACACCACTGGCCTGCAGTCACGGCTGCCCTTGTAAGGCTGCTGTTTAACCACCAGGATTATTCACAAGTCTTTGGTTACATGTTTAGGTAGTTAGCATGCATACACACTCTGGTGGACTTTCAAAAGGGACGAGGAGATGGGTCCACTGGTGGAAGCATGTACTGCGCAGGCGTGCTAACACGAGATTGAGTCCCCAATAACAATCCTCATAAAAGGCCCTTGCTGTGCCCATCAGTCAGGTTCAATGTAAGCTGCATGACAGCAGGATACCAAAGGCCTCCTCTGACCTGTGCACCCTCATACACAAAGGGGTACAGTTGTTTTGAATCTGAGGAAATAACTCAAATCTCAATTTACCTGTGTGCTTTTAGAAATATACTGTTTAAATAATCATTATTTTAAAATACATGTCATTCTGAAAATATAACACCCCAAGTAAATGTTAATATTTTAATACAATTGTTGAGTTATTCCATTTGAGTCTGGGTACTCAAGTAACTCTTAAGTCTTCCCTTAAAATTAGTGCACGGTTTGTGCCCCTGTTCAGTGTAACAGGTATTTACTGCATACTGTGGATAAATAATATCAATAGTCAAGCAAATTTGAAAGCTGGTCTTTATCCCATGGAAAGCCCAGTACTCTTCAAAAGTAAATGATGAAGGAATAATAAATAGGAAGGTGTGATTTATCTAAATTTTCTCTTCAAAGTGCATTATTAGTTTGTTACTAATTATCACACTTAGCAGTTCATCAGAGACATTGCAGATGTTTCCTGTAAGTACAGATTACCAAACCTTATGACTTAGAAGTACTGAGTTATTCCCCAAGGACAGAGAGCAAGCATTTTTGTTAGTTCATTTAATTTGCCATAGATCTCCTGAAGCAACATACACAGCATGTCAGTAGGCTATAATATAAGAATATATGCTTTAGTGGGTATTCTCTTTGAGTTCCTATAGAGAAATGACAAACTAGGACCAGCCAAAATGACTCAGCAGGCAGAGGTATTGCTGCCCAAACAGGATGATGAGATTTCTGGCCTGAGGCTCATGAGATGGAAGAAGAGAACCAATTCCTGAAAGTTGTCCTCTGACCTCCACACACACTGTTACATGCACACTCACATATACATGCTCCATACACAAATATCCTCCATATACAAAAATGTTGTCTGTATACTCCACATCCAAATAAATAAAACTAACCTATTATGTCATTGAAGTAGTTCAGTTCTAAAAACAGGCGGTAAACTAATAAAACTTGCGACTTAGAATTAATAATTTTATATGCCTTTTTGAAAAGTAAATTCTGACCTTTTCCAACAGAAAGGCATGTAGTACAAGATAGGCCAGAGATCCAGTCCTTAATGGACAATTTAGTAGTATAAGTTTCTTACTGTAAACATACAAGATGAGTTTTAAGAAAATCAAAATGAAGAGAAAGATGTAAGGTTTTTATAAATATTTAGGTTTTGCATAGATGTCAAATATACTCAACTGTAGAGTAAGCCTCCCGCCAGCCTGATCCCAAAGCTGCATCACACAGGAGGCTATATTAATTATGAAGCTGTTGGCCTTGCTTGTTTCTTACTGGCTAGCTCTTATTTAAGTATTTACTCCATAATTGTTAATCTAAGTATTTCTCTTACCAGAGAAAGGGTCCGGACTTCTTACCCTTATGGTGGCTACATGATGACTCTCTGTGTTTCTCCTTCCCAGAGTCCTCCTGGACTCCTAGTTCCACCTATCTTGCTTTCCTATTGGCCAACAGTGCTTTATTGATATATACACAGGACTTCCCCATCACTCAATGAATACTTATGAATCAAATTTCTCATGGCAGTCAGGCCACTAATCATAACACCATATTAGGAACATTCAGCAGCTATTCAGTTCTGGTTTTGCCTTCAAAGAGACATGAAACACACACCTTAAGCAACTCAAAGTCCTGTTGCAAGAGACTATATCAACACCCATATCAGAGACAAAGTCACATATAAAAATTAAATGGGCTAGAAAGATGGACCAGATTTTGACTCCCAGCACCCACCTCAGGCAGTGCTTCTAACTGCCCGTAACTCCAGCTCCAGGGGATCCAGTTTTTTTGTTTGTTTGTTTTTAATAAAAGAACACCTTTTTATCTTTTTTTAATTTAAATTAGAAACAAGCTTGCTTCACATGTCAATCCCAGCTCCCTCACCCTCCCCTCCTCCCCTACCCCTCACCAGTCTCCCCAACCCCCCCACCCAATCCCCACTCCACTTTCCAACAAGGGTGAGGCCCTCTCTGGGGGATCTCCAAAGTTTATCCTATCATCCCGGGCAGGACCTAGGCCCTTCCCCTAGGTGTCCAGGCTGAGAGAGCATCCCTCCATGTGGAATGGGCTCCCCAAGTCCATTTGTATGCCAGGACTAAATGCTGATCTACTAACCAAGGCCCCATAGATTGCTGAGGCCTCCTCACTGACACCCTAATTTAAGGGGTCTGGATCAGTCCCATGCTGGTCTCTCAGCCATCAGTCTGGGATCCATGAGCCCCCTCCCCCCCTTGTTCAGGTCAGCAGTTTCTGTGGGTTTCACCAGCCTGGTCTTGACCCCTTTGCTCATCACTCCTCCCTGTCTGCAACTTGGTTCCAAGAGTTCAGTTCAGTGTTTAGCTGTGGGTGTCTGCCTCTTCTTCCATCAGCCACTCATGAAGGCTTTAGGATGGCATATAAGGTAGTCATCAATCTCATTATCGGAGAAGGGCATTTAAGGTAGCTTCTCCACTATTGCTTAGTTTGCCAGTTGGTGTCATCCTTGTAGATCTCTGGAAATCTCACTAGTGCCAGATCTCTCCTCAAACCTATAATGACTCCCTCTATTATGGTAGCTCTCATCCTACTCTCCTGTTCTTCCCCCGACTCAACCTTCCTGATTCCCCATGTCCTCCTCTCCCCTCCTCTTCCCCCCCCTTTTTCCCAGCTCTCTCTCCCCTCTTCCCATGCTCCCAACCTGCTCAGGAGATTCTGTCCCATTCCCCTTCTCCGGGGTACCATGTATATTTCTCTTAGGGTCCTCTCTGTTTCCCAGACTCTCTGGCAGTGGGATTGTAGGCTGACACTCCCGTGTTCCATGTCTAAACTCCATATATAAGTAAGTACTTACCATGTTTGTCTTTTTGTGACTGGGTTACCTCACTCAGGATGGTTTCTTCTAGTGCCATCCATTTGCCTGCAAATTTCAAGATTCCATTTTTTGTTTGTTTGTTTGTTTGTTTGTTTGTTTTTCTGCCGAGCAGTGCTCCATTGTGTAAATGTGCCACATTTTCTCTATCCACTCTTCAGTTGAGGGACACCTAGGTTGCTTCCAGTTTCTGGCTATTACAAATAATGCTGCTATGGACATAGTGGAACAGACATCCTTATTGAATGAATGGGCATCATTTGGATATATGCCTGAGTGGTTTTTTTTTAAGATTTATTTATTATGCATGCAGATGCAGTGTTCTGCTTGCATACCAGAAGAGGGCACCAGATCTTATTAAAGATTCCTGTATGACACCATGTGGTTGCTGGGAATTGAACTCAGAACTTCTGGAAGAGCAGCTGGTGCTCTTAACCTTTGAGCTATCTCTCTAGGCCAGGATCCAGTTTTGTTTGCTTGATTGATAGTTTTGTTTAGTTTTGGCTTTGAGACAATGCTTCTCTGTGTAGCCCTGACTATCCTGGCACTTGCTCCATAGACCAGGCTGGCCTTGAACTCACAGAGATCCACCCATCTACCCTCCTCCTCCCCCAAGTGCTGGGATTAAGGGCATGTGCCACTCACTACCACCTGCTCCGGCACTCTTTTGTAGCCTCCACAGGCATGTGCACAAGTGACATACATTCATGTAGACAGGTAATTCTCAACCTGGGTTCTATGCCTTAGTGAATTTTGCCCATTCTGTTTATTTATCTGGTTCACTTCTCTTTAAGATTTTCTGTAACTTTAGTGTCTTTTCCAGATAATCTTTATTTCCACAAAGGATCAAATGTCTCTCTTCTCTCCAGTGGATACATTTTGAAACCACATCATAAAAACTGCAACCTTAAAAGGCCAAAGCAGAAGTACACACCTTACAGTCTTCTACCCAGAAGGCTGAAATGGGATCCTCTGAGCCCAACTGTTGCCTTTAACAAAAATTTCAGTTGTTCAGTTTTACCTGGCAGCCGGATGCTGGGGTGAAAGCTGCTAGCTCAGAGAGGCAGAGAAAACACCCAGCTGGCCTTCCCCCTCTGCCGACATCCCAGAGCCTTCTCTCTAATGCCATCTCAAACAAAACCCTCCTCAAACTCCAAAGTCCCTCCCTTCTACTTCCTGTGCATCTCTGTCCATCATCCCGACTCCCTCTTATTCTGTTTTGGGTTTTTTGTGGGGTTTGTTTACTTGTTTGTTTTTTGAGCAGGGTCTCTCTGTAGTTTTGGAGGCTGTCTTGGAACTCACTCAGTAGGCCCGATGGCCTTGAACTCACAGAGATCCACCTGTCTCTATCCCCAGTACTGGGATTAAAGCATGCTCCACCATCCCAGATCTCTGTTTTGTTCTTAATAATCCCCTGTTTACTTCCTGTCAACTGGTTGCTTGCTTCACCTCTTGACCTATGTTTGGTTCACTTTATTTAACCCTGTTTACAATATTCAAGCAAAAAGCACTGGATTAAAGGTGTGTGCTAGGGCAGGGTGGTTGTAGCACACGCCTTTAGTCCCAGCACTCGGGAGTCAGAGGCAGGCAGATCTCTGTGAGTTCAAGACCAGCCTGGTCTACAAGAGCTAGTTCCAGGACAGCCTCCAAAGCCACAGAGAAACCCTGTCTCGAAAACCAAAAAAAAAAAAAAAGGTGTGTGGTAGGGCTGAGCCCTACCACAACTAGAAACAGGTTTTTCCAGTAAATAATGCAATCTCAGGGTTCAGCAGTCTGAGGCAAATGTGAACAAGTCTTTGACCCCAAAACAAAACATTATTCATCATTGTACATAATGCCAAACATGGTCTCTTTCATCCAACATGTATCTTTTAGAGCACCTAAAACTGTTGGGCACTGGGAACGCAATAGAGATTAAGAACAAAACCTATTCTCAAGGTTTACTTTGGTGGTTAGCAAACTTTCTGTAAAAGGGGTGAATGGTGAGTATTTTAGACTGTGTGGACTATATGGTTGAATACAACTTCTTTGTTATTAACAAATGAAAGCAACCATAGATAATAATCCTAATGTTTCATTTATGGAAACAACTTTGAAGAACTGGGTATTGGTAGTCTGATGGCAGCAGTTGACTAATGCCTAATCTAATGGGGAACTTACAAATTAATAGTTTTGCAAATATGAAAATTGTGAATGGTGTTAGAATTACAAGGTACTTTTAAAACCCATTAGGAGAGATCTGACCTCAGGAATCGTTGCACACTTCCCACCAGAAGACACATTTGTGCAGAGATCTGAGAAATGAATGAGAACAGGCAAACAGAGCTTGCAGAACACAGGCTGGGCAAAGACCCCAAGAAGGGGAAGCAAGCAGATGGCGTGTTTGTAGAGTTATCGTGTAAGAGCCAGAGTGCATAATAGGATGTGAGATTATCTGTGCCCTGCAGAGATTTGTTGGCAATGTTAGGGTATTTGGACTCTATCCCAAGGAGCATTCATTATTTGTTGACTGAAATCGGGATCTGTACCAATTTGACTCCTCATGAGACCTAAGATCTAAGACATATCATACTTGCCTCAGAGCATCACTTTTCTCCATCAATAAAATTAGAATTTTAAGAATTTGTTAATAAGCATGAAAATACTACAATGTTATGTACGTAAATATTTCTGATTTTTTTCTAAGCTAGAATGAACTTCTGATGAGAAAGTAGTAACTTAGGGTACCAAGTCATTACTCCTACTGCAGCTGTGTGGGGAAGCCACTGAAATCTACAGTTCTGATTTTTATTTTTCTCTCCCACTTTGGGTATGACATGCAAAAGCACACTTTTTAACCCTTTTCTAGATGACACTCAGCCAAAAGAAGGCTGATTCTGCTAGTTTTTTTTTTAAAGCATGTTTCTACCTTTCCAGCTGCTGCTTTTATCTCTTTGGTTAAACGGAATTCAGAGGCGAGGCTTTGATTATTTTTTAACAATGCTTGTTAAAAAAAAAGTCCATAAAATCAGTGAAGGCCCCAGGAGTGTCTGACTTCAGTATATTTTGCCCTGTGCCTAGCACATGACCTAGTACTTAGTCTGCATTTGTTGACTATAAAGATATTTAAGAAAAAAATCGCATATGCCCTGTAAATTACTAGCATAACATGATGCCTGAAATTGAAGCTGTCATTTCCATACCTAGATATATAGGTATCTTGGGACAAATAGGAGACAGACAACACAAGGTGATAAAAAGAATGTGAGCTTTGTAATCAAAAGAACCCAAATCAGAATCCTGTTACCTGCTGCTGGGTCTGTAACCTCAAGCAAATTACCTTTGCCTTTCCTAAGTATAACATGGTTTTGTCTAACATGGTCTGGTTTCATTATGTAGCCCAGGATAGCATCAAATTCATGATCCTCTTGCTTCAGTCTCCTGAGTGCTAGAATCATCATATCCAGCATGAGGTACCGTATCCAGCTCTAGTAACAGCTTTGTTTTGTTTTTTAATTTAAAAATGTGACTTATACTACCTTGTCTTGGCAGCATATAAGTTATTTGACAGTTATCTTAATGTATCATAATAGTTTTATATGGGCAGAATTCATCTCAGAGTAAATATTTTATAATAAAATTAATCAGTAACAGAGAAATAGATTATACTGTGTCTGAGTTAAGTTTTGGGAATTTAATGGAGCAGGACCAGAAGACTTCACAAATGAATGGGCTCATATACTAACCAGTAAATGCTCCAGGACTTAAATCAAATTCCTTGATTGTGACTCACCTATGTATCAAAGTGCTGTCGTATGACAAAACTTTTCCTGGGAGACACAACACACACATTTACTCACCCCAGGTCAGGAGCCCATGACAAACCAAAGTACAGACAGTACCAGAGTCCAGCTTGGTGAACCATGAGTTTCATTGTGGTTACTTAAAGGATGGGTGAGGGGTTACTTACAGGAGCAGAAATTACTCAGACAGCTGTATCAGCAGCTCTCCCACCCCAGCCTGAGTGACAGCTGACAAAGCTGGGAACTTGGAGCACACTGCACTGCTTACAGGCAGCTCAAAAGGTTGAAGAATGTCCTTTCTAGGTGTCTGTTGGTCTAAACATCCTCCAGGCAGCTCAGGTGGTTTCTGCTTCTTTGGGGCAGCTATTCTGGTCTGAGTTTTCTTCTCTAGGAGTCCTCTTTCAGTTCAGTTTGTCTGAATCATCTTGGCAGTTTGACTTCTCCTAGAATCATCTATGCAGGGACTCTCCACTTGTATTGCTTACTCTGGCCAGGAAGGGGACCTAGTGAATCTGATCAGTTTCAGTTGCTTCCTAAAGCTATTTTGAGTTGTTTACCTTCTGCTTAAGGAGCTTCCCTGAAGGATGGATGCTGCAGTCTTGGAGGAAACTGTTACACAAGTGCACTTATGAATCCTAAAGATATAGTAACAAAAATACAGCCACAGCCTCATAGGGGTTATAGTCTTAGAAAGAAAACAACTAACATGCTAATTGTAGTAGAGCTGAAAACTGTAGGAAATAAATGATATGGGTATATAAGAGAACAAATGTTACCTTAGGTAAAGAACATACACACAGAAAAGTTTTGTAGCTCTATAAGAAACTTCTGGGCACTGAAGAAGTGGGACAGAGTCTGCTTTCTGGAAATTAGAAGCTGTGACCTCCAAAGCAGTTAATATATGACAAGTCAGGATTTAGACCAACTCTTAAAACATTTCTGAATGATGAAAGCAGAAAGTGAAACATGTTGAATGTTTGCTATGTATAGGATAGCATCAGAGACTTTCAGTTGAAAGGGGTTCAGCAGAGTTGGTGAATTTGGGTAAGATTACAGGACTCCTAATTAGGAAGCTAGAACTGTGTTTAGCTTTTCAGAAGCCAAAGTGCAATACCACTGTTAATCATTACAAGATAACACTGTCTTCTCTTCTCAGGTTTCTTGACCACCACAACAAAGACAAGTTATGATAGGAGGCCAGTGGACATAACTCCTTTAGAACAAAGAAAATTAACTTTTGATACCCATGCACTGGTGAAGGACTTGGAAACTCACGGTGAGAAGCAAGTACTTGAAAGAAGAAAATAAGCAGCACTCACATAGTAAATTTCCAAGTCAAGACTGTGGCACTGTTACCAACAATTAAGAGGAATTTTTGAAACAGAAGTGCCCACCATACACTACAATGGTTTATAGTCACAATTGTATGTTGGGAAAAGATATATTGTCAAAAAAGTGTTATATAAAATTATATGCATAAAATTAATTCCAGTGAAGTAAAAAAACAACAGCAACAACAACAAATAACTTTTAAAGACTAATACTAAATTCTGGATGGAAGTATAAATTTTGAAGAATAAAAAATTAAGGAATAAAATATTTCCAGATATGGAAATATATTACAAGTAAACACCTGATTGACATTACAGAATGGAGTTCAAAAGTATCTAGATAGCCCTAAATGTTAAGAAGTTCTTAGGAATGAATAAAAGAAAGCTTAGTAATTTTATAGAAAAGTAGGCAAAGGCCATGTAAAAAAGCAGTACACAGAAAAATAACAAAAATGTACATGAAGGTGTTTAACTTCACTATCAACCAAGTACGGATTGAAGTACAAATAAAAATAAACCACTGTATTGCCAATTATAAAATCACTATAAAAAACTAGAATTGTTCAATTTTGTTGTAGATGTATATTAGGAATTAGAGTGCTTTTAGAATAAGATAGCATTGTCTCATATTTTTCATTGTAACTTTTAAATATAATAGTTGAAGTGTTGAAAGTTTGTTAGCTGTCTCTTCTGCTAGTGATGTACATATTTTAACATGTAGATTTATGTGCTGTATACAGGATTTGACAAGACACAAGCACAGACAGTTGTGTCAGTACTAAGTAAAGTATCGAATGTCAGCCTGGATACTATCTATAAGGAGATGGTGACTAAAGCTCAGCAGGTAAGACATTTTTGTTTTTGTTTGTTGTTTTTTGTTTCTTTGTTCTTTTTTATCACCCTGGTACCTTCATTAGATCTTTCCTAAGGGAGGAGGAAAGGAAGAATTTGAAAGGCCTTTTACAGAGTCTGTCTAGAAACATTAGAATTAGAATGTCCCTAACAAGAAAGAGTACAGTAATACTAAGAGCAGAAATCTGGTCAGCTTCCCTTGTTCAAGATAAATGTAGTATTTCAATCATGAGATGGTGGTAGACTTTAGTGAAACAACGTTTTTCCCCTGGAAAGCCCTCCAAAGTAGAACTAGCCTTTCTATATGACACATTTACTGATTTTATATGTGCATTTAATCTTCACAGACTTTGAAAGCTAGAAGGGACAAACATGGCTGTAAAAGACTTTATAAAGTACCTAGCTAAAATGTTAAAATCTAACTGGATATTAAATTCTTTAAAAAATATTTTAATCAAAGTGGTGGTGGCATATGAATTTAATCCAGCACTCACGAGGCAGAAGCAGGCAGATCTCTGAGCTTGAGGCCAGCCTGGTCTACAGAGTGGGTTCCAGGATAGCCAGGGATACATAGAGAAACACTATCTTGGGAAAAGAAATTCTTTCAAGCATTATTTATTGGAGGTGGGGGTGCATGTCATGGTATAGGCATGGAGGTCAGCTTTCAGGAGTTGGTTCTCTCCTTACACCATTGAGTCCCAGGGATTAAACTCAGGTTGTAAATTTGGCAGCACACACGCTTACCCACTGAGCCATTTTGATGACCTATGTATAAGTTGAGTAATTTTTAAGACTTTTCATATTTCAATGATAATGGACAAAAATCAGTAAGATATTTAACAGTTTAAAATTTGTTTTTTTCTTATGCTTATTTTAGTTTTTTCACATTTAGTCTCTTTTCTTCAGATGGTTATTTCAAAACATAGACGTAAAATTTAGGATTTCCTTTAAAAAGCCAAAAGTTACAAAATAAATAAAAACCACTACACTCCAAAATAAATAAAAAGTCAAAAGTTTCATAGCAACATTTTTATACTTATACTACTTTTAATATGTAGGATTAAGTGGTTCTGGCAACAGGAATATTCCTCAAATCATAGTTTTAATTCATGCTTTGTGATGTTAAAAATAACTCTTTCATCCAGAAACCTAACCCCACTTCTAGGACAAAAGAAAGCACAAAGATGATATGAAGGCTAGAGCTAAGATTCAGGGCCATCAGGCAATCATGCTACCATATGATCCCTTCAGAAGAGACCACTCACTGTAAGTCTGCCAAGACGGATGATTCCACCAATGGTAGAACTGTCACACATACAATAGATGCGGCTATTCATAATGGATTACAGCTTCACATTTAAACTTTATGAAGATAGATAGGCATTTGCACTGTTTTGTAGCCTTTTTGAATCTCAAGCTGTATTTGTATGTGGAATAGAGGTAGTTATTTCTATTTCACCAGTAGAGAAACCAAAGAAGTAACTTGTTGAAAGTCACACAGAAAATGGCAGAGTTTAGGTTCAAACAGCTTTGTAGAACATTCTCTTTGTAAAGTTGTTTTTTGGGGGGGGAGTGTTTTTGGTTTTTTTCTTTGTTTGTTTGTTTGTTTTCTGGTATTTTAGTTTGTTTGTTTTATTTTGTTTTTTTGGTTTTTCGAGACAAGGTTTCTCTGTATTGCTTTAGAGGTTGTCCTGGAACTCGCTATGTAGACCAGGCTGGCCTCAAACTCACAGAGATCCACCTGCCTCTGCCTCCCGAGCAACTTTCCTCATTTTTACAGGATTTATTACAGAAACTAATATTCTCTAGTTTTTAAAGTTATATAGAGCAAGACCTTTCCTACAAAAAGGAAGTTTAAAGTTCTTCTTTATAAAGCAAATACAAATGTCAGGTAGGAATCATCTTTTCTTTCATATTTTCTCTGTAGTGTCAAATATAGAAAAGAGACCAGGAAATTTAAGGAAGCACTTTTGTTGGGATCCTCTTCTTTAGAAGACCTAGACATTTCTCTTCACTGGGAGATAAAGTTTTCTTTCTTCAGTTCCTTCACTTTTATTTTGATATTTCAGATATGTGGGTATCATGTGTATTTTTTACTTAACCAGTAATTCTACCTGTTAGGATGTTAAAAGGATGCTACCATTCCATATATCACTAGGTTATTTTATTTTGTTTTCTAGGAAATAACAGTCCAACAGCTAATGGCTCATTTGGATTCCATCAGGAAAGACATGGTCATCCTAGAGAAAAGTGAATTTGCAAATCTGAGAGCAGAGAATGAGGTGATAGAATTTTTAACTTATTATTAATGATAAAAATGTAATTGATCTCCAGGGCAGCCTTCTCCAAAGCCATAGAAAAACCGTGTCTCGAAAAACCAAAAAAAAAAAAAATGTAATTGATCTCACAAGTATGCTACTTAGTAAATAGTAAGACCAAATAATATTATATACTACAAATTTTCAGACTAAAAAATGCACTGATTGAAGCTGGGTTTGGTGATGCACTTAGGAAGTGGAGGCAGGTGGGTCTCTGTGTGGTTGAGGCCAGCCTGGTTTACATACCACCATCCAAGCCAGCTAAGGCTTCAAGTGAGGTCCTGTCACAAAAAACAAAAACAAAATTTACTGTTTAGCCTTACCTAATCTTTATCCAAACCAATTTCTTGGATACTGAGTACATATTGTAAATTGTTTATGTGAAATCACACAGGAGAAAAATTTGAGCTGCAATATAAATCTTCTAGTATAGTTTATCATATATTGTCCTTAAAAGTAAAAGTACTGTGATAATTCTCCATTTTATTTAGTGCTCTGTTGTCTTTGTCACTATGAGAAAAAATGTATTTAAAATATTTATTATTTTAAAATTCTGTTTATATATGTGACTATGTGTATATGGGTGTGGGTACCAGAAGAGGGCATCAGACCCTGTGGAGTTGGATTAACGGGCAGTTGTGAGCAACTGGACATGACTGATAGAAACTGAACTCAGGACCCTTAGAAGAGCAGTAACCACTGAGCCATCCCTGCAGACCCAAAATGTATCTTTGTAGTTAAATCACAGATAAGTTCTTCACTAACTGAAAGTTTAAGATTAATGTTTGGGGAGAAGGGGTTTTAGGAGGAAAGAAGAGCGAGGCTATAAAGGTCCCGTGTGGTACCTATAGAGGTCAGAAGAAGGTATCAAATCCCCAGAAACTGGAGTTACAGGCAGCTGGTGAGCTATCAGATGAAGGTGCTGGGAACCAACCTCTGAACTAGCAGCAAGCAGTCTGAACCACTAAGCTATGTCTCCAGCCCTAGCTTAAATATTTTTAAATTTAAAAAAGCAAATCATGGGCTGGAAAGATGGCTTAGCAGTTAACACTGGCTGTTTTTCCAGAGGTTCTGAGTTCAAACCCCAGCACCACATGGTGGCTCACAACCATCTAGAATGGGATCTGACGTCCTCTTGGGGCAAAAAGTCATACATGCAGATAGAACACTCATATACATAAAGTAAATAAATCCTTTTTAAAAAGAAGCAAATCATTTTAGAGGTAGAATCTAATGCCAAAACTAAATGTCTTCTAACTAATATTTATTTATTGAAGTGGTCTATTAGTTCTTTACTTTTTAAAATTGTAATTCTGTATTAAAAATCCAGAGATACACTTTTGCTAATATAAGTTTTCAAACTTTTAAAGTAATCCTAGGAACTTTTGGATTGATGCTAATTGTTACCTCTTTTACACCTAGAAAATGAAAATTGAATTAGATCAAGTTAAGCAGCAACTGACTGTAAGTGAAATTTATTCCACTAATTTCAGAACAAATACCCACTACAAGATGATTTTTCTAAAATACTAATTTTCTTTAAAGCATGAAAGCAGTCGAATCAGAGCAGATAATAAGTTGGATATCAACCTGGAAAGGAGCAGAGTAACAGACATGGTAATATGCTTTTTTAAAAAATTAATTATACTTTATTTCTTTTTGTGTGTGTATGTGCATTTGTGTGGGCATACTGGTAAAGGTTGAAGGACTGCTGTCTTATGGGAGTTAGTGTTCTCTTTCCACCATGTAGGTCCTAGGGAATAGAACTCAGGTCTTCAGGCTTGGCAGCAGGTGTCTTAGCTACTGAGCTACCATCTCACCAGCCCAGTAACGTCCTTTTTTTTTTTTTTTTTAGTTATGTGTAGAATGTTGTGTGTCCACATGTGGCTATCTGCACGTGAGTGCAGATGCCCTAGTAGGCTTGAAGTGTCAGGTCCCTTGGAGCTGGTGTTGTATACTGTCATGAGCGCATGATGTAGGTGCCAGAAATCAAACTGATGTCCTCAGGCAAAGGACCCGAGCCATCTTCCCAGCCCCACCAGTAATGTGCTTTTAGATGAAATTTTTGTTATTCCTTTTAAAATTATTTGTAACCTTTTTCATTGCTGTTGTTGTGACACATGTAAGGTGGGAGACAACTTCACAGAATCAGTTCTGTCCTTCACCTGCTTGTAGCCTCCAGGGATCCAACCCAGGTTGAGGCTTGCGTGGCCAGTGTCTTTCTCCACTGAGTGATCTTGCTGTCCCTTTTTTCTGTTAACCTTCTGGTTGCATATCCTTTAGTTCACAGATCAAGAAAGGCAACTTATGGAAGCAACCAATGAATTTACCAAAAAGGTAAGGTTAATATGTAGAAATCTCTCTTCCCCTTGTTTCATGTTCCTTGCTTGTATGACCACTTTTATATGCACCAGTTTGTAAGCTTGGACTTTAAATACCTAGCCAGTAGAATCTGATGTCATCACAGCTGTTACATTTGCAAGCACTCTGGGGAAAGCTGCTCCTAGGAAGTGTGGTTACAGGAACTGCAGCCTTAGAGTAAGAATGTAAGCGTCCCAGGGCAGCTCATAACCACCTGTACCTCCTGTTCCAGGGAATCACATGCCTGATGCCTCTAAAACATATCCACACACAGACACACAATTGAAGATAAAACAAATCTTTTTTAAAAAATGAGTTAAGGATTGAACATGGTGGCACATGCTTTTAATCTCAGCACTTGGGAGACAGAGGTGGATCTCTGTGAGTTCGAGGCTAATCTGGTCTCTACATAGTGAGGTTCAGGTCAACCCAAGCTACACAGTGCTTTTCTGTCTTGAAAATACCACCACCACAACCACCATCACCCCCGAAAAAGAATTTAATTTTTCATGGCATACTTTTTTCAAAGTTATTTTTATAGAAACAGTAGCTACTTTTATAAAAAACAAAAATTTACCATTGTTTAAGTAAATGTCTAGACTTAAACAAATATCTTTAAAATTTTTGAATCATAGAAAATATTTAATATTTATTATGTACCAGATACCATTATACATGTACTTGTGTCTGTTAATGCATTTAATCCTCAGGTCAACCTCTATAATTAGTATTTTTTTACTTTAGCAGTTTGAAAAATGACAAACAAAAAAGGTTGAAATCGCACAGCCAGTAGTTGATAGAGTTGAGATAAGAACATAGATTCCAGGGACTGGAGAGATGGCTCAGCAGTTAAGAGCACTGGCTTCTCTTCCAGAGAACCCAAGTTCAATTCCAAGCACCTGCATGACACCGCATAACTGTCTTTAACTCCAGTTCTAGGGGATCTGATACCTTCACACAGATAACATGCAAGCAAAACACCAATGCACATGAAATAATAATAAATCCTTTTCTGAAAAAGAACACAGATTCTAATTCAAGTGTGCTATGTAACCCCAGAAGTCAGGACTGCCATGAGTTTGAAGCCAGAAGGGGCTATTGTGCGCTATCCTGTCTCAAATAAAGAACCCAGGCTCTAAACACTGTACTTAGAGGTCTTGTTAGCATTCTCAGTAATCCTGTAATGTAATCATTAAATAATAAGTAAACTCTGGCTTTCTGATTTACCTTCATCCTTTTCTTATGAAGTTCTCTTACTCAGGATTTTTTAAACAAATAATCTTGAATTTAAGAATTTTCCGTTTCTTAGTATCCCTCCTTTTTCAAACAAGCCTTCTTTTTTTAAAAAAAATTATGTGCATTGGTGTTTTGCCTGCATTTATGTTTGTATGAGGGTGTCAAATCACTTTGAGCTGGATTACAGGTAATTGTAAGCTGCCATGTGGGTGCTGGGAATTGAACCCGGGTCCTTTGCAGGAGCAGCCAGTGCTCTTAACCACTGAGAGTCATCTCTCCAGCACCTCTTGCTCAGAAGCTAGTAGAAGGAAAGAACACCTGTGTTCTTTCAAGAACCCATTTTCTTATACTTCTTGGCCAGAGAAAGTAGATAATTAAGGAAATGAGCAAATTCTCTCAGCTAATTTCTGAGCTCTGTTTCCCATATGTGCAAAGTTACCTACCAGGTATATGGAAGTTCCTTTTATATTGATCTCCATCCATATTATAAACTTGGTTGATTTTTTGGTAAAATATCTTTAAAATAAGTCTTTATGTTTAAAGTGTTAATAATATTCCAATGATTTTACACATAAAATGATAGGTCTGGGACTAAAATGTTTACTTCTTAATTTATCATATATATTTATGCCTCAAATATCTTAGGATATTTTTAGTAGACTATGCCCAGTATGGAATAATTTGAGAAAATTGTCTCCAGATATGAAATTGAAGGAATGTTTTGTCACTTGGCAATATTCATTTACTATTAAGACTTTTTTAAATGCACTATTAGAACACAATTGAAGGTTTTAATATGAATGATTTTGTTCATAATACATAGGTACAAAAATATAATTCTGTTTATTCTGATTTGCTACAGGATACCCAAACCAAAAGTATTATTTCAGAGACCAGTAATAAAATTGACACTGAAATTGCTTCCTTAAAAACACTGATGGAGTCGAACAAACTTGAGACAGTTCGCTATCTTGCAGGTAGGTCTGTCAGAGAAAGGAATTACTGACAGTGAAATTTTGGATCTGTTGGTTCCTACCTGTCAGAATAACTATGTCAGGACAGAGAAAAAAAGGAGCTAAAATACTCTATTTCTTGATATCCTGTTTTGCTTAAACAAGGTTCAAATTTTAGTCCCAGCACTCAGGAGGCAGAGGCAGGCGGATCTCTGCGAGTTTAAGACCAGCCTGGTCTACAAGAACTAGTTCCAGGACAGCCTCCAAAGCCACAGAAGAACCCTATCTCAAAAAAACTAAAAAAAAAAGTTTCAAGATCAAAGTTTATCAGGCAACTAGGCAGTTCACTTAGAGAAAAAGGTGTCAAGCTATTAATAAAAATAAACCCAAATAAAATGGTAAAAGTAATTGGGTAAATTCTACAATGAAAATTTTCATTTTAGCCAGGCATTGGTGGCGCACGCCTTTAGTCCCAGTACTCGGGAGGCAGAGGCAGGCGGATCTCTATGAGTTCGAGGCCAACCTGGTCTACAGAGTGAGTTCCAGGACAGCCTCCAAAACAATACAAAGAAACTCTGTCTAAAAAAACCAAAACCAAAACAAAACAAAAAAGCCAAAAAAAAAAAAGTTTAAGAAAGTAATCTAAATAATCAGCCACCATCATTTTGCCAGTCCGGCATAATTTGCATTTTAAATCTTATCCCAGATATCTATGGCTACCACCCCTCATCAAAAAAGCCTTTCTTTTTTTAAAATAAGTAGGAAGATATGGCATGAGTGCATCTATTTGTCCTAGAACTCAAGTTCCCATTTACTGAACATTCACAAATACCAGCCATGTTAGGATTTGACTCTTAATTTGCCTAAAACTTCCCAGTCTTAGCTTCCCAAGTATCTGGAAATATAGGCACATGACATCTGTGCCCAGAAACCTCAATTGAAAAAATGCTTCCATAGGTCAGCCTGTAGATAAGCCTGTGGGGAATTTTCTTGGTTACTGATTGATGTGAGAGGGCCCAGCCCACTGTAGTGGTGTCACCAGCCTCTGGACAGGCTGACCACAGGCTGAGGATGCCAGTAAGTAAGATGGCTTCTGCTTGAGTTCCTGTCTCCAGGTTTTTGCGTTGAGTTCCCATCCTGACTTCCCTCAGTGATGAAGTGTAACCTGAGAGTGTAAGATAAAATAAACCCTTTCCTCCCCAAGCTGCTTTAGTATAGTGTTTAGTACTGCAATAGAAACCCTAAGACACAATGATAGTAAATGTGAAGTACTGCTTACATTTTCTGACATGACAGCTATATTTTTAAATTATTTTCATATTTACTCTCTAAAATACAGGAAGCTATTGATGTAAGTCTTGCTTTACAAATGCCTTTTTATCCTTAATTCAATTTTCTAGGGAATAACGAATATGGAATATAAATTTGATTTTCTTTGTTTCTGTTCATTTAATTATTATTTTACTACCTGAAATTAAACTATAACTTGTAACATAGCTTCGTCTTTCCACAGCCTCGGTGTTCACTTGCTTGGCAATAGCATTGGGGTTTTATCGGTTCTGGAAGGAATAATAACACTCCTCCTGTTGCTGCCGATCATGCCATAGACTGTACTTTCTACAAATTCTTCAAAGTACTCATGGACTAAATTAGAAGTGTTTTGGTATTTTATTTTTAGGTTATATGACTTTATTATGTTAAAAAGCTGTCTCCAAAGCCTGGTTTGAGATAAAAGCACATTTTGTCCTTATCCTTTTGATAACTACAGCAACATTGCATTTGAGCTTTGTAGCTTTGTAAATGAAGTAGGATTTGTTATCAGATTGCATACTTGAAAATAATTCCATAGACTATATACTTACTGGATTTTACTACCCTGCTTATTATTGCAGTTAGATTTTTTTATATAATATACTACAAAGTTGTTTGGATTTTCTAAGTGACTTCCTATATAATTGGAGGGTTTTTTTAGTGAATAATAAATTTTAAAATAATGTGTATCTCATTGCAAATGTGTTATACTTACTATTGAGATCTATAAAGATACTCTGATTATTATGTATATCTTTATTTTTTTCATATGTACAGCAGTTTGAGGAGTGGGTTTTGTATTTTGTTTTGTGTAGACAAATTTTTCTTTAGGCCACCAGCTCAAGAAAAATGACAAACTTATTATTAATTATTAAAGCTCAGCCTTTAGCTTAGGCTTGTTCCTAACTAGTTCTTATAACTTAAATCAACCCATATCTTTTAATGTCCGTTCTTTTATGTGGCTCGGTTACCTTTACTCTGTACAGCCCATCCTGCTTCCTCTCTAGCTGGTGAATGTTCTTCCTCTCTGAGTCCACTCTCTCCCTAGAGGTTCTGCCTAGCCTCTTCCTGCCTAGCTGGCTGGTCAGGTGTTCTGCTGCCACCTCTGTTCCCCAGCACTTACTCTCACCTCGCACAACTACTTCACAGTAACCCATCTCAGGTTTAGTGTATGTATCAGTAAATCATTTAAATTCAACATATACATATATAGACCATGTATACTAGATATATAGTACCATACATACCATACACACACACACACACACACACACACACACACACACACACACACATAACCATCTCAGATGTACAAGCATGTGGAGGCCACACATCATCATTGGATCATTGGGTATTTTCCTCATTTCCTCATTCATTCTGTATCTTACTTTTTTGAGACAGGATTCTCTCTCTCTCTCTCTCTCTCTCTCTCTCTCTCTCTCTCTCTCTCTCTCTCTCTCTCTCTCAATCCCTCCCTCTCTCCCTCTTATCTTTCTCTCCCTCCCTCTCCTTTTCTCCCTCCCTCCTTCCCTTCCCCCTTTCTCTCTCCCTCTCCCCTCCTTCCTCCTTCACACTCTTCTTCTCCCCCTTTCACCCCCCCAAACTTGGGGTTTATCATTTTAGCTAAACTGTCAAACCTCAGGAATCCATCTATCCATCTGTCCCTGTCCCCCAGCGCTGGGATTACAGACACAGGCTGTATGCCCAGGTTTTACAAGGATGCTACACATGCAAGCTCAGGTGCTTTGAGCACTTTATACATTGAGTCATCTCTGCATCCTCTCCATATTTTTTTTTACATCTTAGTTCTCTATCCAGATTGAAAATGCTAAGCATTTCACAAGATTTCATAATGCCTTGGCAAAAGCTTTTCAAGAATAAATAAGTGTAATTCAAAATAATCCTGCCAATTGTTAAGATCAAACTATACAGGAGATAAAAGGTATCTTGGTGTCTCTTTATTTGAAAGGGAATCTCATGTGGTTCTGGCCAGTCTCAAATGGGCTATAACCAAAAATAATCTTGAACCTCCCAAGTGTTACACTTATCAGCATGTGCTCCATGCCCAATTTTATGTGATGCTGGATATTGAAGCTGAGTTTCATGCATACTTTTCCAACTGCTCTCCACCCCCATCCCAGCCAAGCCAATTTTACAACTTGCTTACAGATTTTGATTAACCCGATCTGATCCCAGCAATCAGGTTCTTGGGACCAACAGATCCTGACACCGGTTAAAATAGCCATCACAGCTTGCTGGCTTCCCATAGAAGGAAAGAGGAACAGAATGAGAATGTTTAGGAACTAAGTCAAAAACACAGCTGTTTCTTGGTCAACAAAAAACAAAGTCTCTAAATTCAAGGAATTATGAGGAAAAGGAGAAAATAAGCATGTGTTTTCGTCCTGCAGTGTCTGCCTCAAAGTATCTAAGGGGTCATTCTTAGCAAAGGTCTACTAGCTCCAGTTTTTTTGTTGTTGTTTTTTTTTCAAGAGTAGATTTTTCACTCATGTAAAGCTTTTGAGTGACATTTGGTAGTTGTAGGTAAAGCTGTTCTGTGTAAAAACATTTTTAAAAATTCGGGGCTGAAGAGATGGCTCAGAGGTTGAGAGCATTGGCTGCTTTTCCAGAGGTCATGAGTTTAATTCTCAGCAACCACATGGTGCCTCACAACCATCTAAAGTAAGATCTGGTGCCCTCTTCTGGCATGCAGGCAAACATGCAGGTAGAACACTATATATAACAAATAAATAAAATTCAAAAACAATTTTCTTCCAAGTCTAGATGCTCTGTAAAAGTTAAGTCATTGAAATAAATGAAATGTTTTGTAAGGGTGGGTGAGTTTAGGTGCATGTATGCATGCATGTGCATCTCAAGACAGTCACTGTGGAGCCCAGCTGCCTACATTCCTAATAACTCTTCCCCAGTGTCATAAATGCTGGATTTAGAGGTATATATTGTAATACCTGACAAAGAACAAAACGCCTAAAACTATATGCATGTTAATAATGGTAAACAGAACTTGCTAGACAGTAAAAGATATACTTTAGAAAGGCATGGTGGTGCACACCTCTAATCTCAGTACTTGAGAGTCAGAGGCAGATGGGTCTCTGTGAGTTTGAGGCAGCCTAGTCTACAAAGAGAGTTCTAGGACAGCTAGGACAGTTACACAGATAAACCCTGTCTTGAAAAAACGAAAAGAAAAAGAGAGAGAGAGAAATAACTTTATTATGAAGCCATAGTGTCATTTTAGTAATTTTTATTACCTAGAGTTGGATTTCCTTTGACTATTAGATTGTATCATCTTATATTTCACAGTTTATGAAATACAAAATTATTATTCATAAATGTTGGCTTGCATGTATATGTATATAAAAAGTATCCTGAGTCCATGGCATTTTCACCTTCATGTCTGAAGGATTTCTATCGATTTGCATTTATATTATGTTTAAAGTAAAGGAGAAAAATCCATTGTTTACTTAACCTTATTACACTGATTAGTACCGTCTCACAAACACGCCCCCAGGAGATGCTTTCTTTTTCACTCTCCGCTTCTCTTTGCTAGTCTCACATGAGTCATCTTCCTGTAAACACAGAAAGGAGAATCAAATAAAGCTTCATGCTAACATTTTTCAGCAGCATCCAAAAAGTCATGCTAAGTATTTTCCACTCTGATTAAATTTCCTTTAGGATTTTGTATAACCACATCCCCAGACCTAAAGTACTATGCTTCGTGTTGTGCTGGATCGTAAGGCTGGGAGACTCCTTGGAAAGTCATTCATTGCCATCTCTGCTTAATATAGACCCCAAAGGGAACAACTTGTCATTTCTGCTTCTATCTTGAGTAACATTCCATACATCACTGCAATGTCTACTAATATCACTTCATTTGAAATCTTTATGGAGCCCTATATGCTAGGATTTACCTTTCTTGACTTCTCCATTCCTGAGTTTTTGTTTACACAGTATTCCTCCACAACTTTCTACCTAGCCCATTACCTGAAACTTTCTCATCATCTTGGTATTCACATGACCTAACACAAAAGATTCAACAAGTGATATAGGAAGGAGCAAAGGAAGGGACAAGAGTACAGCAGATGTTCAGTAGAAGTTAATCATTGTTGAATAGTTGTAGTAAAAAATGCTGTGTGTGCCATTTACTCTAGAGGCAAGCTACATGCTAGGAATAGTTGGCCAACACTAAACAGACTCCATGCTTTGGTTTTTGTCTTTTTATTTTATTTATTTATTTATTTGTTGGTTGGTTTGGGGGTCTGTGTGTGTGTGTGTGTGTGTCCTTGAAGTTTGTTTGGTTTATATGAAGTGGGATGAGGATCTGGAAACAGTTGTTGGGGTGGGGGGAATATGACCAAAATACATTGCACAAAAAATTTAAATGAATTTTTAAAAAGAAAGTCCCCATCTGTGTGATCAAACAAGCCACCCGACCTAGCCTTACACGGTGACACAAAACTGCAATCATAACACATGGAAGACTGAGGCAGAAGACTGTGAATGAGACCAACCTGGGCTAACTAGTGCATTTTAGGTCTGTGGTGTCATAAGACCCTGTCTCAAGAACAGAATAAAGGAGAAAAGAGAAGACACATATATACACACATGACATAGATAAATGGAAAAATTTTCTACATCTCATGAGCTAAACTGTTACAATGGCTTCATCTGGAGAACATTTATCTGGTTTCAACATCTTGCAACTCCATTATATTATGTCACAATCTCTGAAGTTATTAAATGAACAATTAGTCTGGCTAAAATAAAAAGTCAGGGAGTTTTTGTTACAGATCAGACAAAGTGGCAAAGGTCTGAAACAATTTACCCGTGACCACTGGAGACAAAAATTTCTCTAAAGGATGAAAATGTTCATGGTTCTCAGTCCCCACAATGTCAGGGTAAGCTATCCCCAGGGCCACATCACAATGTTTTTTGAGACAGGGTTTCTCTGTGTAGCAGCTCTGACTGTCCTGGAACTCACTCTGTAGACCAGAGTGGCCTCAAACTCAAAGATCCACCTGCCCCTGTCTCCCAAGTACTGGGATTAAAGGCATGTGCCACCACACCTAGCTCACAGCATCTTTTCTTGCAGAAGAGTGGAAGCCAAAGCCTAATTTACTGAGACTGAATGGCTGTAAGTTCCCAGCTGACAGAGAAACTCTATTTTACTGTCTCATTCAGTTTCTTGGTATGTTCAGGTGTTACTGATATGGGGCTTTGTGGGGACATTGTTTCTTCTAATAGAAAAACTGACACCGGGTGGAATCTTCATTTAAATTCTTACCCTTTTGAGTTTGACTTTTTTTCAATAGCAAAAGTTATGTATTTGGAACTCAAAATACAGTTCAAGAAAGCAAAATAATAATGCTTATTCACAGTGGCAAAGTGTCAAATTCACAATCTCGATGGCAGTTCTAGAAAGTAGAGTTAGCTCTAGTTTGCAACACAAGCTCAAATAGGCAAAAACTTTTACCCACATCAAAAATTCAGCCCCAACTCAAAGCTTACAATCTTAGCCTCTTCTATATACTATTTATCAAGTAAAATAAATGTGTTAAAAACACCAACCATAGCCACGACACTGGGGACCTGAATTTTCTCCAGCGTTTCCTTGAGTTGATCCACCTGTGCTCGATATTCATCCATTTGACACTCTAACTTTTCTCTTCGGAGTCGC